GCTTTGTTGTTTCGATCCAGGAGAGTGTGGGCTGCTGCTGGCAGCTACAGGATGAAGTCGCCTCCCTGCTGCATGTCTCTTTCTTCCCAAGCGTCCCTGGAGGAACCAGGGAGTAGCACATCCCTGGGCTCCCTGGACTCCAGTGTTTTCTCCAGTGAGGAGGAGCAGGGGCCCCTGCTCCAGAAGGTCGTTCCCTCCTTGGACTGCTTTACTATCAATGTAGGAGGCAGCCGCTTTGTGATGTCCCAGCAAACTTTGTCTTGCTACCCTGACACCCGTCTTGGCAAACTGGCCGTAGTGGTCTCTGCTGCCCGGGATGTGGCCTCTGGCCTCCTTGAGCTTTGTGATGATGCCAACCTTGTGGAGAATGAGTATTTCTTTGACCGGAGCTCACAGGCGTTTCACTACATCCTGAATTACTACCAGACGGGGAGGCTGCATGTGATGGAGCAGCTTTGTGCGCTCTCCTTCTTACAAGAGATCCAGTACTGGGGATTGGATGAGCTCAGCATCGATTACTGCTGCAGAGACCGGTGAGTTGTGGGAAGATGTGGCATGCAAGATGGTGGGCTGGGTGAGCTCAGTGTTTACTTGCGTGCAGGGACACTCAGGTGAGAGATCCAGCAGTGAGGATAGGTGAAGTAGCAGAGCATTGGGAAAATCATGCTCAGAGCTGGATGACTTCAGTCCTAAATCCTGCTGTAGAGGTGGATGGGTGTAGGGTGAGGTCGCTGTTGACCTTTGCTGAGGGACAGGTTGGTGGTGGGGTCAAGATAGTGAGACCCTAACATGAGCAGGGTCTGGGTTGTCCTGTACTGGCTTCAGACTGGCCCTGGAAGCTCAAAATGTTTGAAAGGAACAATGCCACAGATGAAAAAGGTTGTGAAAGGGGAGATGTTCCTTCAGTCATCCAGTTTGAGGTTATCGTAGCTAGAGGGATTGGATGTGGAGGGAGGGTTTGGAGCCTTCCCACCCCACACTTTCCACTCTGGAGGATTTCCAGATCCAAGCTGGAGAGGCAGAAGAGGGGGTGGTCACCTGCCAGGCTGAGTGTGGGTGGCATGGCTCCAGGAGGAGCCGTGATGCGAAGCATCGCACATGGATGTAGCAGCTTACAGGGAGGGGGCAGCAACAGCGGGAACATGGCTCGGTGGAGACAAATTGTAACAGGCAGCTTAGGAGCGAGGTGGGTTTCAACTGAACCACCCCCAGGACATTTCTGTTAGTTCTGTTTGCAGATAATTTTAATTTTTTCCACCATTTTTAGTGTTACTGGTTTGTTCGTTAATATTGAAGAAATGAATTCTCTAAAGAGGATAACTGCTATTTATCTAAAGCAAAATTATTAGAAAGAAACAGAGAAGCAACCCCACCCCAAAAGGCTACTGAAGTTATCCTCCCCTAGCATGGTCCAGTTCTGCAGCTGAGAGAGTTGTATCCTAGTTTTCATCCCTTTCTTCCTTCCCTGGTAGGTGTAACAGGAAGCTCCTACTTCTTTGGTGGTACACGGAGCTACAGACCTCTTTGGCACATGCAGGAGTAGCTGTGTATAAAATGAAGGCAAAATTGCATAGCCCCTTTGTCTAAGGCTTGAGATTTGCAGCAGTCAGGAAATTCAGATATGAAAGAAAAGGATTCATTTTTTTTGTGTATTTTAGGAATATTTTTGTTTCATGAAATTGTTCTGTACGTATACTCTTGCTCTAACAAAACACTCAACTAGGCATTTACCATCTGTAAGTTTTAGCTGGCACAAATACTTGTGCACTTTATTGTGTGAGGACTCATATATTCAAAGAAAGTAAGATAACTTGTCATCGTAGTGTGTATTGATCAGAACTTCATCCATGAACTGCATGGCTTTTATTATGCCTTCCCTTTTAATATTGCAGATACACCCCAAAGTAATAAAAAAGCAATATAATTAATAAAATTGAGAAAATTTAGAAACAGGGTATCTGGTTGTGCCAGGATTGCTTGCAAGAATTCATGTTAGTTATGCAGCAGATCCTACTGTAGTCAACATGATCCATGTAAATAACACGCTACCGGAATAAAATTACTCTCCATATACAAACTGTCACTGATGTGCAATAAGGGAATAGAAATATCAGATCAATGGAAACGTGCTGCACGGTCTCAATTAATAAAATCATCAACCATATGCTTGACATCAGGGTTTTCTGAGCTCACCTAAGATATACTTTAATGTGTATTCTTATGCCTCATATGGTAGAGGATAAGAAAAACATACACATACGTGTGTAACAGATCTCTTTGGGGGGGGTGGGTTTCTGGGCAGGTACTTCAGAAGGAAGGAGCTGAGTGAAGCCTTAGACATCAAGAAAGATGCAGAAGAACTGGATGCCCAAGATGAGGAGGAAGACTTTTCTGGTAGCCTCTGTCCCAGTGTCAGACAGAAACTTTGGGAAGTTTTGGAAAAGCCCGGCTCCTCTGCGGCAGCCAGGACTTTCGGCACTCTGTCCATGGCTTTTGTTGTTGTGTCCATTGCCAACATGGCTTTGATTTCCGTAGAGCTAAGCTGGCTGGCACCACCACTACTGGATGCCCTAGAGTACCTGTGCATCGCGTGGTTCACTGTGGAGTTTGTTCTGAGGTTCCTGTGTGCACGGGATCGGTGTCGCTTCCTAAGGAGTGTGGCAAACATCATAGACCTCCTTGCTATTTTACCTTTCTACATCACCCTGCTGGTGGAGAGCCTGTGTGGTGGGGAGAGCTCTCAAGAACTTGAGAACGTGGGGCGCATTGTCCAAGTGCTGAGGCTGCTCAGAGCCCTGCGGATGCTGAAGCTGGGAAGACATTCAACAGGTACTTTCGGCCATGGCAGTGGTATTTCTCGGTTTTGCTGCATACAACAGTTGTTCCTGGGCACAGTCCCCCATTTTGTGTACATTTCTGCCTAATCTTTTTACCCAATCTAATGTTAATAGTAATGGCTTTTGAAAATCTTACTTTTGCATAGTGATAATTGAGTGGCACGGGCCTTCTCCAGGGAATTTTAGTTCTTCATAAAGCCAGTGTATATTGTTTGCACAGAATATTTACGAAAAGAAGCCCAAACTCTATCCCTGCTGAAACCAGGACAGGGATGAAGCAAGAGAAGGAGCAGAGATCATTGACCCACACTTTTTGTATTATCAAAAGCCCATTAATGACAGCATATGTAATTACCTGTCACAATTTGTTTTGTTAAGAACTATAAGCAAAGAAATATATCATGATTTTGTCTACATCATAGATCCTGAAAACAACCAGGATAGAGAATGTTTGAAGAAAACCATTAGAACTGAATCATACCAGGCAGTGGGTTGAGGGGCTCTCTGGCCCCGTTGAACACCCTGATATCTCTGTGCTGTGTTGAGCACAGCTGGGGGCTGTTTACTGAATGGACTTAGGTGCAGCTCAGAGCAGCAGTGTCAGGTTCAGCCGGCATTCACCCATCCGTGTGGGGCCCTTCGTGTCCAGGCACTTCTGACGGGTCAGCAGGCAGATGGATGAACAGCAAGCAGGGGTAGGGTGGAAGGTGAAATGCAGGTCTGAGGACATTTTTGTTCACTCTGAGTAGTAACGTTTTCTAGGGGGAATTTATCAGAGGAAGTTGGACATGATCGGAAGGTGTTGCATTTCCCCTTGTGTTTACCAGTGTTATTTCTACTTCATGGCGTGTGCATGCCTGGGTATATGAAACAGTAAAAGGCGTACTCCCACCACACTGTCTCCATGCCATGATGTTGTCCAATGCTTGGCATTTTCAAAAAGTGATTTAATTATGTTCCCACTATATCCAGTACTGGATATGGCACTGAATTTGACAGAAGAAATGTTCAGCCAACACTTGGAGCTTTGAAAACTCAGATCCTAGTTGTAAGTATCTGTCCTGCAATATTAGCCTGTTCTGAAGATGGTGATGGTCGTTCTTACATGGCACTCAACGTACCTTTCCAGGATTTCCTGCCAAGGAGCAGGAATGGGTTGATGCTTTTCTTTTTTGGAGAGCCATCTCCACCCTCTTTGTGATCTGGCCCAGTAGGGCCAGCAGGCATTACAGTGAGCTTGCAGCAGCAAAATGTGTCTCTATTTTTGTCCCCACTGAAGGGGAGTGAACCTGCCTACCAATGGCAGGGAGTAGCTTTAATGCTACTGAGCATAGTTGTAGTGGTTTGGGAAGTATCTTAATCTTACTTGCCTACCCTAGATTATGCCTGTGCTGATGCATAACTGTCCCTGAGAAAGCACTTGAAAGGAAGCTTATAGTGATTCAGTCTGTCAATGAGTTTGTTTTGCTTCATTATAAGTTTTTCAGGGTTTGGTGGGGTATTTCTGCAAGAAAGGCTACTACCTATTTTTGATAGTAGCTGTAATGTTAGTGCATTCCTCTCTAATTGTGTTTTGAAAATAAGAAAATGATTTGAACTCATCAAGGCTGAATTGTGCTGAATAAAAAAAACAGTGATCCAAAAGTATGTTGATTCTAGCTACAAAATTTTCATCACATTTTACTGTTACAGAATGAATCCATGAAACTCAGCTCTAAGGCCCTTCTTATCAGCTTGAAACCAGATGTTTCAGAGGCTTATATAATAACTGTTAACTTCAGGAATGGTCTCAACTTTTGTGTCTATTCTTAAATTCATTAAAATATTACCACAGCTTATATTACAATATTGAGTGCCACTAAGAGTTCAGTAATTCTATGTTAGGTAGAAATGAATTAATTATATCAAAATCTAGTCTACTAATCTGGAAGTGAGCTATCATATTTCTACTAGAACCAAAGTACCAGTTTCAAAATATAAGAAGTAACGTATGTATCTACTTAAACCATCCAGAGCAGCATTATTGTCATTGTGCTTGCTTCTTTGGTAGTTCAGAGTTGCTGTCCACTTAGACCCAGAACACTAAATCACATCTGTATAATTTAAATGTAGAAAGTCACTGTTTCAGTCTTCTCTCAGAGGAGATGCTGCTACTTACACAAAACATAGCCCTAATAAATCAAAATAGAAACATGCGCCAGCAGATCTTAAGCCATATTTTTGACAGCTAGAGGTATGTAGTGAAAGAGTTTTGTTAACGTGCTTCTAAACACATCCTTAACCACAGCTGCTAATATAAGATGAACCCCGTAAGTACCACACACAGAGACCCTCCTTGCACATACCTAGGCAGTCCTGAAAAATCTCAGTGTTTAGGGATGGCACTCACAACTCTTCTGCTGTCTTGCCCAGGATCTGGCAGCTGAAAGCTACCTCCCAGCAAAGCTTCTCCCTGACTCCTGCACTCTCAGACCAAAGCTTTATGCACTGCTCACCTGCTCAGTGTGGCAAGAGGAGCGTGAGATCAGAAGAGATGAGAAAATTTGTGGCTGCAGGCAGCAACTCCTCTTTCACCAAGTAGGGGTGTTCACAATCACAAGGAGACCCATAGCAAAGCTGGGATCACAACAGCAGCCTGGCTCTGCTGTCAGGGGCAGAAATGAGTTAAGAAAAAAACATACAAATTATTTTCTTCGTTTTAAAGAAATGGGAACTTAACCTTTTTTATGGGGAAGGGACAGAAAAAGAAATGAAAGAATAATTTCTCCCCCTTTGAAAGCTGAACCCAGCTAATAGGAGAGATGTGATGCCTAGAAACACCTGGGCTAGACTAGCATGAGTGTGCCACTATTTATGCAAAGTACTGTACTTCATCAAGGAACAACTGAGAAATCAGTAGTACCTCTGTCCAGAAAATGTATAGCTAGAGGGTGAGACCACTCTTTTGAGATGTCAAAATTATGGATTTGAGTGGCTTCAATAATACTGATATAAAACTGAACCTGCATTTCTCACATTCTCTGGTGCTCCTCAGCTGTTGGCTTCCTTCTGGGGCCCCGTTTTGTGTGAAACCTTGTTGGCCCTCCTCTGGAAGCACTTACAGATTGACTCCTTGAGGAGAAGTAGGATGTGAGTATCTTACTTGTGATGGCAATGGGCATGTGTTTGAGGGAAGGCTGTAGTGTATGTCAGGATGAGATGCCTCTAGAGACATGAAAAAGCAAAACTTTGATACTTTTAGTGCCAAAAATTTAGGATGATATAAACACTGTGTGTAAACTGAAGCTCCTGAGCGTCAGCTTGTATTGCCAAGTCTCTGGGCAATAGAGAGCTGGAACTTGAGCTGCATGGCAGAAACACCTTCTCCTTCCTCCTGCTGGCCCCAGGGCTGGGGCTGCTTGCCTGCCCCACGCCAGCTCTGTTACAGCACCTTAGCACCTTCCAGCAGGCGTAAGCAAGCTGTTACAGCTCTTGGCAAGGAGTTCTCATGGGAAGTCATAAGACTTGCTGAGGTGTCTGTGCTGGAACAGCCCTAGTTTGGCTGTTTGCTAGGCCTCAGAGACATTTTAAAAAGTTACAGAATAGTATAGCAGAATACATCGTTCTTTTGAATACACCGGCTGATTCCCACTTAGAATGAGCTGTGGAGTCCAATAACTTAAGTCATAGATTTGTTTAAAAATGTCTCCTGACTTCACCTGAAGACATGAAGAGCTGTATCTTTGGTTTAGATGAGGATAATAGAACTAAGAATAATTAAAAAAAAATCAGACTCCTGAACTGTCAGAATAATTAACCATAGGAAAAATACTTTACTGAAGGTGTCATCAATGTGATACAAAGAGTTAGCAGTCACTACCCTGTTCCTCCTTGTTTTGACCTGGTTTATGCAAGAGTTGCACTGTGTTTTAGCTATAGTTTTCTCAGGATCCATCATAAGGGGCAAACCCTGGCTTTTTTAGTACTCATTTGTGGTTTGAAAAGAAGTGCTACATAGGTAGTTTTAAATTGGAGTACCTTCTTCCTAGGTGACCTGAAAAGACTTATTTTTCTGCGTTGTTCGATAGGAAGTTTTACAGGGCAATGGATGATAGTAACTTCCCTGGAAGATGAGAGTTTGATCTGGATCCTTGCAATTGTCTCACACAGCTTTTGTACTGCTGATTGTAGTGCATTTTCAAAACATATCTTATTCGCCTTGTGTTGCAGATTTAAACTATATAATTATAATAAACATTCTAACCAACAGATCTTAGTTATAGTAATACAAAACCTGGATATGGGCAAGTCCTTAACTGGTAGAAGAAAACATTGAAAAAGAAAACATTCCCTATAAACTCTAGTATGTACTTCCACTGTTTGCGGTATATAAACATAAAAAACCCCAAATTTTAAAACCTATTAGACCTGAAGGAGAAAACAAAGAGTCGAAAGCAAGAAGAAATTTTAACATCTTGTAGTTTGAGATTGAGGAAAGAAAAGCAAATCGAATTGCTTATTACCCTAATGAGCATATGAAGTCGGCAAGCAGAGGCAGAGCTCCAATAAGCTATTTTGCAAACACTGGTTTAGTTAGAAGTGTACCCCATGAAGGATAATTCATAAGCATTGTGTTTTTCTCATTTATTAAAGAAAAGGTAGTGCATTTTTAAAGAACAGTATTAAAAACCAATCCAAAAATCACTTGTGAGTCAAAAGATAATTTCAGTCTCCCATGTGTCTCAGCTGAGTTGATCCTTGTTATTTTCCTTCTTTGTGTATGTACGCAACATTTATCCCTTGCACTGTTGGTGGATTTACTTTCCTGCTGGCTTTGTCGGGCAGTCTAGCCTTGAGGCAGCAGCTCTGAAAGGAATGGGGGGGGTTACGGAGAGCGGTGGGCTGCGCACGAACTCCCTGCGCAGCTCGTGGGCACTGGGCCTGACGCAGCACGCTGGTGAGCTAGCAGGAGGATGCAGTGTTTGCACTGGGAGGCTTTGCTATCTCCAGTTTTGGCAGAAGTGCAGCTGCTGCTAGAATACTGTGTTTTGATGTCTACAGATAAAGATATTGATAGGTTTTTGGGGGAAAGAGGGGTCAAAGAGAGGCTGTGAGAACTATAAAAGGATTGAAAATAGTACTTAGCAAAGAAAAAGTTACTGAGTGACTGATCTGGGCTCTAAGCCCCCACCTGTGAACACAAATTTGGTAACTAAGTGTTGCCTGGTTCAAGAGGAAAATATGACAATGGCTGGAAAATAGGAGCTTGGCACATTCAGACTGAAAGGAGGGAGCAGGTGTTTTTAGTGTGGTTCTTTAATAGTTATTTAGATAACTTATTAAAAATTGTGCTAAATCTTCTATTATAGCCAATTGCTAAATCAAGATTGGTTAGTTTTTCTAAATTATATGTGTACATAGTTTAAACAATAAGTAATGAAGCAAATTTCTATGCTCTGCGTTAAGGAAACAGAGATGATGTCAGTGGTTCAGTCTAACATTTTAATCTATTTCTTTAAATCATGTTTTCCCAGTAGTGTTAAGAGTAGCACCCCTTAAGACATATTCAGTAGCCATCAAAGCAAAAACATAAGGCAGTCAAGCTTTCAAATAAGAGATGTTTCACAAAGTTATGACGGCAGCTACATGAATCAGCCTACTGACTGCTTTTCTTGGTTTTCAGGTTTGCGGTCTCTTGGGATGACTATCGCACAGTGCTACGAGGAGGTCGGCCTTTTGCTGCTTTTCCTCTCTGTAGGAATCTCTATATTTTCCACTGTGGAGTACTTTGTTGAGCAAGGCATGCCAGGCACAACTTTCACGAGTGTACCTGGTGCGTGGTGGTGGGCAACAACTTCCATGACAACTGTTGGTTATGGTGACATTAGACCAGACACTACCATTGGTAAGGTAGTGGCCTTTATGTGTATACTATCAGGAATACTGGTTTTGGCGTTGCCGATAGCTATAATAAATGACCGTTTCTCTGCCTGTTACTTTACACTGAAGATAAAAGAAGCCGCTCTTCGGCAGCGTGAAGCTTTGAAGAAACTCATGAAGAACTCATCCAGCGACTCTAATATCAATGTTAATTTGCGAGACATATATGCACGCAGTGTCATGGACATGTTACGGTTAAAAAGCAGAGAGAGAGCCAGCACAAGGAGCAGTGGAGCAGATGATTTTTGGTTTTGACTTCTAAGGTATTTAGCCTTGTATAGCAAATAGACTACTTCAAAAATGTAGTATTAAGCATCTCTTTTTTTATTATTCCCCACATAGTGTATTTGTTTTTCCAACTGGAGTTTTACTTATTTGGACAGACTGAGATAACCATTGTATACAAAAGGCAGAATTCATGATATGGAGTCTCTCAAGGAGCTATGAAACTTGCTTTCAGAACTGGATCATGGTGGGTGAGGTGGGAAATTATGGGTCCATCAAAGTCAAACAGTGGCGCAAACACTTGTCTATGAATCTTATGTCCTTGCTAATGTATAATAATAAAGTCTTAGCGAAAATTGCCGTGGTGTTTTGAATTTTAAAGATCTATAAGATTTATATTTGCATTGGAAGAACAAAAGGGAAAGACATTAAGAAAAACTGAAAAGGGAAGTCTAAGGGAGTGAAATGTTGAATAAATTTATGATGATGTTCCTGTAACAAGTTTCAACTTGATCCCCTTTCTTATCCCCATCTTCTACTCCATTTTCATGAAAAAGAGGTTAGTAGACTCTGGGGGGAGAATTTCCTCATTTGAAGAGAAGCGAAGGGCTACCAGATACATGGCGGGTATCAGGAGATAGGTGAAAGTATTAAGCAGATGCAAGATAGGCAGCTAACTATAACATAGTCATGAAATAGGTGCCATAATGTAGAGCATCCTCTGCGGTTGCTCTAGAAGTTGCAGGCACTAATACAGACTTTGCAGCACAGAAGTCATTTACAAACTTAGTTGGAATCATGCCTTTGCTGTATGTTTTGGTTCCCATAACTTATTTGTGTAGCTGAGCAGGTTTTGTGCTCAAGTAATGTCATCGGTGGATATCAGAAGAAACAGAAATGGTAAAAGATGATAAGCTACTCATTTCTCTGTCTCCCATTAAAATTGGTAGATATTCCAAGTGGGCTAGATTTTTAAAAATATCATAATCTTCACTGATGCATTATTAGAAGAATCCTTCATCAAAATGTGTTGTTCCAAAGGAAAAACGAGCACTTCTTGGACTGGATGCTTAGTCTAATGCAGTAATCAAAGTACAAAATTAAAGTAATATCAACAGTATTTTCAGTCAAGTTTCCCCACCACTTACTTCTCTAGTGGCCCAATATCATCATTCTTAGCAAACAAAGTTTTTCTTTAATGTACTTGCACTGTCCTAGACTATCACATTGCCACAGTATGCATATAACTCAACTAGTAGGTTAAATAAAAAATTACAAACCTCTCTCATTTCACGTTTCTTTTGGGAAATGTAAGTGCAATCATTATTTACATTTGACGTGAATTCAACGTACTGAAAAGAAACATCTATTAACCACGGATTACTTAATTTTATAAGGTATTTATGTATATAGAAGGCTTAAACTGCCTTAAACTAAACTGAATAGGTGAAATAACCTGCTTTTAATAAACATTGAATGATACTTGTTTTGAAACAACAGTGTTTTCCTCCCATTTCCTATAAATGGTGGTGTAAAGAAAAACAAGCAAAATTTTGAAAGGCTGCAACCTAGATGCAAACTGAGTAGCATTTCAGCATGAAACTTCTGATTTGTCAGCTGGCGTCAGTCAGCATTTGGATTTGGGACCAATGCACACATGCAGCTGCCACCAGGGTCAAAAGGAAGCCAAGGAAGACACTGGAGACCAAAAGGGTGTGTCTTGCTCTACCAGAAATTGTCTAGATGTCAAAATTTGGAGGTCATCCTCATGGTCTGTGTTACACAGGGAGCAAACTGAGTTACCACAGTGTTCTCCTCTGCCCAAATGCTCTATGAATCCACCACAAAACTTCCATTGATGTCCAGGATACAAAATTAATTCTGCAGGGGAAGGTTTGATGCAGCCCACTCTAGGTTATTATTTCATAGCTCCTTGGAGCAGGAAGTCTCTCAAGCTGCATAAATTGTACAGGCTGTTTCTCATTCAAAAGTCATTCTAATTATAGAGAATTAGGAAGAAGCTTTCATTGTGGGAAGGCTGTTTTGTAATGTCTTTTGTGCTTTCTTGTACAGCATCTGATCTCTGTTTGAGAAAGGAAATGCAGTTAGATAGCTGATTGATTCTCTTTAGGGAAAGGCTGCTTTTACTGCATCCTGTGCTTTTTATGAAGGACTCAAAAGAATGAGAGAAATGTTCTGGGATGTATCAGTTGATTCACTCCTTTCACCAGCTCTGGAGATAAAGTTTCCTAGAAATGCCCATGGGGAAATATGGCTGAGACTTTATCAAGTAGCTGCTTCAGCTTCTATTTTAGGACCTCTTGATTTTGAATTCAAAGTCTCCCAAGAAGTGTTTGTCAATCATGTTGTTTATGCAGCAAGGTTATCTATCACATTATGGGCTGAGACTAGCAAATCATTTTGCAGATGAAGGCCAGTTCTGCTTTCAGCTCGTGCAGACAGAAGAACCAGAGCATTTGTACTGAGCAACAAACAGTACAGGACATTACAACTCTAAAACATGAAGCTACACCATGTACTTACAACCACAGATTTGGAAAACAGCTCAGTCACCACTAAGGCACCGAATTAAGAATGTTACTGTGCTATCTTTAGAATATCACACAGAAGATAAGAAAAGAAACTACCTCTTGTCCTCACATCTGTTCTGCCATTTCCATCCCACAGCAGACTTGGCAGAAAGGATCATGTGATAGAACATCAGTAACACTGGCTAAAATTTCAGCATTTTAGCTTAAAACACTAAGTACTTTCAAAAACTGGCATCAAAAGGTGTAGCTACAGCACGTAGAGCAATGTATTAACCTTGGTTCCCCAGTACAGGAAGCAATAATAGTGAAAATGCAGGGGTAGAGACTACAATGCAGGCTAACAATCTGAAAAATATGGTATATTTCTTTATAGAGGCTTAGGGGTAGCTTTTAGTTGGGGACAGTGTGGTCCAACCCCACTAAAACTTTTTAAACATCACTATAATTGTTCTTTGTCATTCTTAATTTGAAGAAAGCCAACAGTCTTCTGGGGCTTGTTAGGCAGAGCATTGCCAGCAGGTCAAGGGAGGTGGTCCTGCTCCTTTGTTGAGCCCTCATGAGACACATCTGGGTGATGTGTCCAGTGCTGGGCTCCCCAGTACAAGAAAGACAGGGACATACTGGAGATAATTCAGCAAAATATTGGAGTGCCAGGTTGCAGAGAACAGCACATCAGGGAACCCCTGTGTCCAGGAGAGATGGGTCTGCTGGTAGCTGTGGAGGGATTTGTCACTTCTGGGGGTAAGTTAGAGAAAGGTATTTTGAAATTCATGTTATCTAATATTTTACAAGTGTCTAATATTGTGATTTACCTGTTGTATTATGGATGTTGATCCTGAATTCATAGTTCTCTGATCACGGTTTAATTATGTGGCATTAGTAAGTCAATAAACCACTTCAATCTCGATTCGATATAAACTATGTAAGTTGAACAATTCCCACCAGGACAGGAGTTTTTCTGGCCAACTCTGACCTTGTGGGATTGCCACATGGCAAATCTGGTTGAGCACAAAAAGGAGCAACAAGAAAAGGAGAAAATTATGAGGTAATGCCCATTTATTATTGTTTTCTGCCATAACAAAGTATTCTCATCTTGTTATAATTATTTTGATAATGAGTGACAGGCTTTTCTTATTTTCTACAGTATTATTTTCTCAACCTCCATTGAGGTATACAGGCATACACAAAGCTCTGCCAGAACGTCTTCTGTTGAGATGCCCACCGTCTAAACTCTACTAGGGCAGCTGTTGCTGACGCCTCCGGTACTTAGTTGTCTGTGCTCTTATCACATAGCCTCGCTGCAGAAAGGGTAGAGCGGTGCTGGCTGTAGTCACACCTCTGACTGCAGACAAGGGGGCTCCAGGGCTCTGGGCTCTTGAAAATATCATTCACTAAAGAGAAGGGCTGCCGTCAATGATCTCTCTAGGACTGAGATGCATTTTTCCATTAAAACCTCTTGAATTTGGTTTCTTGAGAGTTTTAATGAGTCCTGTAATTACTACAGCTTTGCCTTTTATTTAAACACAAATACTAGAAAACACATACATCTCCAGACAAAAGCAGAGCTGCCATGCGCTCACTGTTTGTTCAGAGCTTGATGAGGCATTTAAGTTTGGTGTAAATAGTGAGCTTGACCTGATGAGCAGTTGGTAACTAAAGCCATTCCTTCAGAAAATGGATTTTCATGAAAGACTAACCTGAAGAATTCAGTTATAATCAACTTTTTTGTTGGTTTAGCTCTATGAAATAGAATCTTTTTTGACAAAACCTTGGCCCTGGTGCTTCTGCTAGAGGATGGCACTGTCAGCTGGAGGGAGCGTGCAGCCCATTTTGCGTGTGCCTCTCACAGGCGTGCTTGAAAAGTGTGAGCATACACACCCCTTCTCACAGACAAACAGGAGGGAAATTTGGTGCAGGTGGGTATTGCAGTCTGCCTTCTTACAGGATTTCTACATGAAACAAAAAATTTCTAGTCTAACAACAAATCCTACTTAAAGGTATTTGGGGCACTATTTTCTATTTTACTTACACTAAGTTTTTGCTTTGCAGACATCAGCAACTCCTTCAGCTGGGATGAGGATAAGGAAGGATCCCACCTAATGTCACAAAAGAAGGTCCAACACTAGCTGATGTAAACATCAGTTGCTCCCAGTCTGTCTCAGACCCCCAAGAAGTTGCCTGTGAGATGGACTTATATCAAAGAGTGAGGAACTCAGAGCAGCCTGAAGTTAGTTTGGGTCTTTTAAAAAGTCTACAGTTGTGTCCATCTAATTGATGTACAAATGCCTGTTGTGTGAGAAAAACACACCTTTGTAACAAACAGCTTCCTAAAATGAAATCACCTTCCTTATCAAGTAAAGCAAGACTCCTACAGATGTAAGATTTTCTCTAATTATACCTAATTTCCTACAAATAATATTTTGTACAAATATTTGTACAAATATAATTTGTTAATAAAACTAAAAGTGCCTGTAAGTCATGA